CAATTATCAACAAAATTAAATCCCACTCGAAATTTCATAGAGTACATATTGAATAGAATTACTCTCGAAACAATAAAATGTTTGATATATACATGTACTTATGATTTTTGTACATTGTTTCACTCTACGATGTTTTGAATTAAAATGAAATGCAAATAATCTCAAACTTGTTGTGTTTATTGTCCTCCCTCAACATGAAGAGCAAGTTTTTTTTAAAGTCCCTTTGACATCCTATTGATATGTCTAAGCTATGTGTATAGCTTAAATTATAGTAAAGAAATAACAAAGACAGCATATTTTGATTGAATACTGTCATTCATTAAATGACAAAAACTCGAAAACAAAATAATAATAATAAACAGGAGATCACTGGCCTGTTGATGAAAACATTTTTTTCAATATACAGATACACTGGAATCTCCCTTGTGACAAGCATCAATTTGGAATAAATATTTTGACAAATAAAACGTACATAAAACAAAAAAGTTGATAAGAGAAAAAAATTCAAGAAAAGCAAACAGTTATAACTAGATGCTGTCATGAGACAGTAATACCCGCACTATGGTGTTTGCCTCTAAATACACACTCCTATATATTGGACTTTCCAAGGAAGAAGTCAAAATAATTCTATAATTATCACCGTACATGTATTCGTCAAATTGAACATAAAATTTTCAGGTGACCATATGATCTATGAGCCTCACATATGTATTTTGAATACTTAATTCATTACCAGCTAGTCTGAAATAACAGAATTTAATTAATGATTGAAGTAAATTACTTAATTAGATTCAGATAAATATTTTGCCCATAATTTGGAACTTTTTAAATTTACTTTCTCAAGGACATATTATTTTAGTACAAAGCGTTTTTGATGAATTTATCAAAATGTGCAAACTGATTTTAATACTTGGTCGGAAAAAAAACCCATTGAAAATACAACCCGATTAATTTGTCAATGCCTATCTCTCTCCCCCCCCCCCCCACACACACACACACACACTCTCTCTCTCTCACTCTCACATTTTTTTAAAATAGACCTAGATGGCAAAGTTATGTTAAAACATAGTTTATTATGATAGTTTGAAATTTGTTCTTGTACTAAACAGTTTTACGTGTGAACATCTTATTTTCTACATTCACATTGGGTTTGCGTCACCCATTATCATATTTATAGATATCACCTCTCGGCACACCTCGGCCGATTCATACTGGCAACGGAATCAGCAAAGGTTTGTCGAATGAGATTATTTAGCACATGTATGCTGACGATGCAGTGTGGTCAGTTAAAATCATTTGTGTTTTAATTGGATTATATGGATTATATTTCATGAATTCGTTGTCACGACCTATGACATTCGGTAAGTACAAGATTTAGTATAGATTGCATAAAAATAAATAAATGCAAATGGTTAGGTTGAAGTTCAAAAAGGGTCAAAGATCATCGCATGCCACAGTCGACAAATTTCACATTGTCAAGTTATCTCCCGTTGCGGACATTCAGTATATACAGGCGCAGATCCAGAATTTTTTTTCAGAAGGGGGGGGGGGGGGGGGGTGTCACACCTCAGTCAAAAAAATCAGCCCAAGATTTCCTGAGAAGCAAATAAAAAATAATAATAAAAACAATGATGGTGGAGTCCCTGTTTTCTAAGGGGGAGGATGTCCAAAGTCATTTTTATTCTCTACAGTACATAGTCTTATTTAAATAACTGCTAATTCCAGGGGGGGGGGGGTGGGGTGTCTGATCTCCCTAGCCACTGACTCCCTGTACCTGATATGACAATTGATCTTATGACTCCATAATAGTAGAAAAATTTTTCATTTGACTACATGTATATATACATATTTTGTTTCCTATGTTTATGTATGTTTGTCTGTCCACAGAAACTTGAACCTTGCCCATAAGTTTTAAGTGGATTGGGCTATACACATGGCTTCAATATTTCATAGGTAAATTTCTTTTGGCAAAACCTTTTAATGGGTACCACCAATTTTGACCTCTTGATCTCTTGACCTTGGAGTTTGACCCACTTTTACAAGAAAAATACCTTAAACTTGGCCTAAGTTTTGAACAGGTGGTGCTAGGACTTTCATGCTCTAACATGTGTAATCATTGTGAACTTTCAAGTATAATTATTTTTGACCTTGACCTTAGAGTTGAACCCAATTTAACTTTAACCTTGGCAATAACTTTTGAACAGGTGAGGAAGTACTAGGGATTTCTCTCTTTTTTCACATGTGTATTCCTTGTGACAAGATTTTCCCTTTGATACCAACAATTTTGACCCTTTGACCTTGACCTTGGAGTTTGACTTACATTTGAGAAACTTCAACCTTTGCCAAAAGCTGCCACAACAGTTGCTGTCACAACAAACAAATAAATTACTAAAAAAACACAGTATACATGTACATATTTTATATTCAACAGATATACATCTGGTCATATCTCTAGTTCTCCCTTGAATGAGACATGGTGATATAAATTTTAAAAAATAATTATGATAAGAGTTGAAAAGGTTGTGGATATTAAAATATACTAGTAAGCTCTGCGGATGAACCACAGCAAAGACATTTATTGTCCCCCATTTTTAAGGTGGTACATTAAATCTCATTTGGATCAATCTGCCCATCTGTCACAATAAATCTAACCCCCCCCCCCCCCACTATGATTTTTATACACCCCTGGTCAAAATATTTTTTTTTTCTTTTTTTGTCATGAATTATGTTTCTAGTACTTATTTACAACGTATTCCATACGAAAAATCCAAAAAATAACATAGATTTAACGATTTACTAAAAAAGTCATACCCTGGTATTATAAAATAGAGAAGGTAAGTCACTCCGGGTTGTTAATTCGGACCCCTCTTGAATATCGGGCCTAAAATATCATATACCTACTACATGTCACCAAAATGTCTAGTCATGCCTTAATTCGGTAGAGGGTTTTGTCGTAAATCGTGCTATTTTATCAACCAAACATTCTTCTGTTATCCCTTTATTAACCGTCAAACGCTAAAAATCCAGAAATGTCAAAGCAGAAATTACGGAAGTGACGAAAAAACGACACCTCGTAGTAATTTACCACAGGAACGATAACTCCACTTCTGTACTCGGAGAGTTCCGAATGTAATAGAACCAACGGAAAGAGCCGAAATTTGCGAAAAAAAAGTACGGGAAATAAAAATGGACGACGATCAACGAAGGGCCTTTGAATTGGCAACTTCTGGACATAACTTGATAATTACTGGACAAGCCGGGACAGGAAAAACTTTTCTTGTCAAACAAATTGTAAGGTATTTAAGACAACTGAAGAAAAATGTTGCTATTGTATGTTCTACCGGTATCGCCGCGACTCATTATGGTGAATTAAGGGCACAGACATTGCATAAATGGGCCGGGATAGAGGATGGCAGACACTTGAACGAAGAAATAATACACTTAGTAAAGACTGATGAAAGGTTCAATGTTGCTAAGAAAAATATTGAAAATGCCGAAATACTAATTATTGATGAAATTTCCATGATTAGCGCAAAAATCCTACACCAAGTTCAGTTACTTTGTAAAAATGTCAGAAATTCAAAACTCATCTTTGGCAATATCCAGGTGATACTTGTGGGAGACTTTTATCAACTCCCACCTATTTCAAATGAACTTTTTGGAGATCTTGGAAATCATTGCTTTAGATTACCTTGGTTTGAAAATTATTTCCCACACAAAATTAACTTAAATATTATCCACAGACAGGAAGATCAGCTCTTGATTCAATGTATTAATGAACTTGAAATTGGAAATCTCTCAGAAGATTGTGTTGCATTTCTTCTCTCTCTTGATAGACCAATACAAAATGAGCAATCATGTGTACACTTATTTGCTAGAAATTTAGATGTAGACTTGTATAATTACAACAAATTGCAAGCACTTCAAGGGGAGTTAAAGGTGTACAAAGCTGAGGATGAGGGCTCTCAACGCTATCTCAACAAGTTTCTGGCCCCTAAGAATCTAGGATTAAAACTTGGTTGTCCTGTTATGCTGATTAAAAATTTAAGTGACACATTAGTGAATGGACTTTGTGGAACTGTGACAAATTTATGTAATGATTCTGTAGATGTGAAATTTATGGAAAATCATAGTACACCAATTACAGTGTCCATTTCAAGAGAAATTTTCACAATATTTGACCCTGTGGATAAAATTGTTTTGGCGAAAAGAGTACAAATGCCCTTAAAAGTAGGATTTGCTATGACAATACACAAATCCCAGGGAATGACCTTGAAAAATTTAGTTATTGATTGCACAAATTGTATCCAGCCTGGGCAACTTGGAGTTGCCATAGGCAGAGCAGTATCTGTTCAGGGTTTGAAAGTAATAAACTTCCATAAAAATCTATGCAAAAAACATCCAGGTCATGTATACAATTTTTATGACAGTTTTTCAATTGGCATTGTGAAATGTGATCTAAGTTGTTGCAGGGATAATGTTGACATTAGTACTCTGACAGCGGATACTGGTCATAAATCTGAAGACACTGATGATGCTATCGAGTCAAAAGTTTTGAATGAGGATTCAGAATTTTCTGATTCAGAGATTGAAGAATTAGAATTCATAGACAATATTCTTAGTGATCCTGGTCAAAATGCACTTCCTGATCAGTTTTCACAGTCAAAACTCATTTTGGACTCTGCAGTGCAGAAATATTCTGACACACCAGTAGAAACAATTATTTTCAGTTTCAGGGATGCAATCTGCAAAAGTTATAAATATTTTGATGACTGGTTTCATGAGCAATTTTCAATAATGGAAGACATAGGACTGAATACTTTTCCTGAAGGGGAAATGTCTTTTTCTCAGAAGCATAGAAATGATTATTTTATTAGATTCAACAAGTATCTTAACTCAGATGATTATGAAAAAAGTGCAAAATCCTTGCTTAATTATTATGAGCAAAATTCTGAAGGGCCAGCATTTCAGCTTTTAACTGCAGTTATGTTTCAGATAGAGAAAGATTTTTTTCTTCAGCTTTCTTCCTATCTTCAGTTATCTGCCCCTGAGCCTGTAAAAAAGCTAACTGTTCAGTCTGACCTGGAAATGGACTCTGCAGGAAAAGGGAAATTAAGGTACATAAGTGGGTACATATTAGCCAAATTGAAACATACTTTGTCAAAAAAAATCAGAAATATTTTATTCACCAAAGGTAAAGAAACAGAGTTGTCAAGATTTCAATCACAAATGGAAATTCTCAATTCATTGTGTACTTCATTTGATCATTTAAATGCTACAGCAGTAGAGCCGGAGACTCTACTTGAAGTTAAACACAGACAAAATGACAGAGAGAGTCTCACTAATGTGTCTGATTTGACCTTTAGTTTTTTCCAAAAACTGGAATTATTATGCCGTGAAAAACTTACTCATGATAAGCTAGTTGATGATAGAAAATATTTATTCAGTTCTATTAAGGGAGAAATACTCGATAGTTCTTATATTTTTGACACATGGATTCAGTGTGTTGCGAAGTCGAGAAATCAATTGAATGAAAATCAAACTGAAGATATTTCTGATCTTTTGTCTTCAATGGTCATGACCTGTGATAGTTACACAGAGATTTTCCAAGCAGTTGTCTCTTTATTCCTCAAAGTAAATTTAAGTCAGTTTCGAAGAGATTTCTTAACATTTTTGAAAAAAGAGAAGAGTGTCGCACTGCGTAAAAAGGTCATGAAAAGGTCAAAAACAGTTGTGAAAACTTTCAACATGAAATTTTTCTCAGAAGATGACTCTAGCAATAAAGAAGTTTCATTATTAAGGTTAAAATCTGAACTTTTACAAAATGAAAAATTCTTTACTGAACATTCATTTACCAAAAAGGATTTGATCTCAATATGTCAGCATTTTAATTTGAAAGCTACTATGAAGCAAAAGAAGGATGATATCATAAAAGTGCTTGTCGATGGAATTCTAGAAAATGTTCATGCATCCAATCAATCTGTACTTGACACTGAACAGGCAGGACCTAGTAACTCTCAACCTTCATATGCTGATCTGACTCCCGCTGGCTCTGTATCATCTGGACCTGGCCTTTCACCACAACCTAGAGAAAGACGTAAGAGAACATCAAGCAAAGGAAAAGGTAAAGGCAAGGGCAAAGGAAAGAAAAGAAAAACATCTGCTGACATTGATGACACAGAGATTTGAACATGACAGAGGAAGATCTTACAAGGTATGTCATCTGGTCTGAAATTTATTAACTTCAAATTTAGTTGCATAAAATATTTAAATGTTTCTAATGTTAATTTTAATGTTAATGTTAATTCAGTGGGTTTTCCATTTGAAAATTCTGTTTTTTGTAATGTCATAATTTTAAAGAGAAAAACCATTGGAAAAAATATTTAACATTTTCTCAAGAATAGTAAATGCATGATTAGTATTTGTTGTGAAAGCATCTCTCTTGTAGTTTATATTCAAGTTTTCTCAAAATAGGGTGGGACCAACAGAAGTGTCCGATCAAAGTTGCACATAGGAGCTGGACAGAAATCCTGATTAAGAATTAATAGCAAGACCAGTGAGTCAGGTGAGGATTGTAGCCCATGGATCTCATGTTATAATTAATATGAGAAGTACTAGTACTGTATACACAAAAGAGGCCAAGTCTTATGTGAAGCATTACATTGATAGGTTTTATCCTATTATCTATATCAACAAAATATCTTCAAATTCATTACTTAGATAAGTTTCTATTTACACTGTATATGTTTCTATGATGTACCTAAAATTTGTCTATAAATAATTTTTATGATTGATTGTGAAATATAATAATGTACTTTATATTATTTCAGAAACCTTTTAGTATGCCATACCTTTCCTTCTGAGCTTCTTTTTGGATGTTGTTCTGGCAATTCAGCACCTCCCAAGGCTCCCCCAGTGTTTGATTTCCTCGATACAGAGGCCTGTCCTAGAATAACAGAATTCAATGTGTTGCAGTATCCTAGGTAGGTAGGATTGGTATTAGCCCCATTATGTAGTGTCCTCTGTTGACAAAAAACATTTTCTATAACATCACTGTTTGTTCTGGATGGAATAATGGAGGCATTTGATTTTTTCAGTTTGTAAAGACAGAGCTCCTCAAAACCAAGCACAGATGATATAATGTCTTGTCTAGTCTGGTGTGAAATTAAATGCTTTTCTTTATTTTTTATTGTTTTGTTGTTTTTTATGCTATTCTCCCACTGTACGAACCAATCCATTGCATCATGATTTTCTTTCAAACGATCATCACTTACATCAGTGACAGGTCTAGTATCTCTGAAGTTTTTAATGAGGACACTAGTACATTTTAGGAGTTTAACTGTCACATCCAGTTGTGACCCTTCTAATCCAAGACTCTCTTGATAAAGTTCCATGAGATGTAGCATATTCCCATCTAGAACATCCTCAGCTAAGTGATTCCTCATTTTGGCCTCAGGTGTCATAAACAAGTGTTCTTGGGATAATTTATGGTGTACTGGAAATGCATGAGATGATATGTCCCATATATAAGCTTTCCTAAAATGATTCCACTCAATGTACTTATCACCGAGCATTAAATGTCTCTTGCAGCTAGCATCAGTACCACTTTTCAATATGTTATTGCGAATTTTTTTTATCACATGGGAGATGTCCATTATGAAAAAAATTTGGGGGTTATCTAGACAATATATGTTTTTGAATGAGCAAGTTACTGGGTTCATTGTGCTAAATTCTGGTAGTAAAAGCTTGAATAAGTCTCTGTTGGACTGAGCCCCATCGGTACTTATATATTGTATTTTAAAACCAAAACTTGATAACATATTCACAGATTCCCAAAGCAACAAGTAAAGTTCATGTCCTGAGGCTGTAGTTGAGGGAAAATGGGCAAATGGGAATCTGAACCCTGTAAACCCCAAAAAAAGGAGTTGGAGGGCATGTGTTGCTAAAGGTAACTGTTTTTTACTTGACGAGATCTGGTTAAAAACAATGGACTCAGGAGTGCATTCTGAGAATCCAATTAATTGAATTTCACCATCTTTTTTCTTGAATTGTAGGTCTGATTGAACAGACATTTCGTCAAATATTAGGCCGCCCTCTAACCCCTCTGGTGGAATTTTCTTCAGCTGGGCTTCATTCCTCATCCAATGAAGCACTTCTTTAGAGAATCCTGCCTCTTGATGAACTTGATTTTTAACTCTTTGTAGGAGTTTTTGAGAGGGAAGAACCAAAAACTTGCTATTTCTTAAATCTGTGTAACCACGAGGGCTTCTACACCACAAATTTAAACATAACCGAACTACATCCCTATTCCACCTTCTCCCATTGGGATGCCTATCAAGTGCTATTTTTTGTGACTTTAAAAATGTTTTCATTTTGTCAGTACAATCAGGAAAAATTTTACCCAACAGTTCAGACATGTCTTTATTGTCTGCTTCACACAATGTAACTGTATTATGCAAATCATCACTTTCCACACAGAGTTCACTTGGATTGCATCTGCAATTATTTGTATTTTTGAAGAATGATTTTTTTTCAACATTTGATTCAGACTGTTCTTCATTTTTATCAGATTGATATTTAGTTGATCTCTGGAGTTTTTTACAAAAGGTACAGATAAATGACATATTTGTCGCAGCTTGAATTGGTAAAACATTTATACACTTTTTTGAGCGGAAGCAAATACTGCTGAAATTTTCATCACCAACTTTGGACAAGTGCTCTTCAAAAAAGGAAGTTTTCTTTTTATTTTCCCCAATTTTCTCAGCCCCTTTGCAAAAAGAAAGGTGTCTTATAATTTGGAATATTGTGCTGAAACTGTAATGTTCATTTTGTTCATTGATGCCAAGACTTGCTGGTTTAATAGTTCTTCCACGAATATTCATATGCCAAATTTTATCACTTTTCAGAGAAATTTCAATCATTACTTTGTTATTGTTTATTATGTCACCAGTAAAATGACCTAATTTAATACAGTCTGCAGTCTTTGAAAGCACAAAAAAATCTTCTGGGATAATTGAACTTATTTCACTGAAAGGAACATCAGACAGTGGGGATTTTCTCCACGAGATTCCCAAATATCTCTTTGTCAATTTTGACCAGTCATCTTTTGAGCGAACTTGTATTATTGTGACATTTTCAAATAACCTCTTTATTATATTTCCTACTGCAAGACCAGTCACTGTACCCTTGAATTTTGTTATAATGTCCTGTAAATCAACGTATTCAGTGCCTGTGGAAGCTTCAAAATTTTCTAGTAACCATATGTATAAAGAAGAAATATTTTTTTCACTCATTTTGAATACCTTTGCTTAATTTCATCTCTTTCCTTATTTTTTGCGCTTTAAAACAACCGCCGAAATATTTCCCGTACTTTTTTTTTCGCAAATTTCGGCTCTTTCCGTTGGTTCTATTACATTCGGAACTCTCCGAGTACAGAAGTGGAGTTATCGTTCCTGTGGTAAATTACTACGAGGTGTCGTTTTTTCGTCACTTCCGTAATTTCTGCTTTGACATTTCTGGATTTTTAGCGTTTGACGGTTAATAAAGGGATAACAGAAGAATGTTTGGTTGATAAAATAGCACGATTTACGACAAAAACCTCTACCGAATTAAGGCATGACTAGACATTTTGGTGACATGTAGTAGGTATATGATATATTAGGCCCGATATTCAAGAGGGGTCCGAATTAACAACCCGAAGTGACTTACCTTCTCTATTTTATAATACCAGGGTATGACTTTTTTGGTAAATCGTTAAATCTATGTTATTTTTTGGGTTTTTCATATGGAATACATTGTAAATAAGTAATAGAAACATAATTCTTGAGAAAAAAAGAAAAAAAAATATTTTGACCAGGGGTGTATATTGGGGGGGGGGGGGGGGGTCCTGTCCACAAGTACCTGTTGACTCTGTGACCTTGACCTTGAAGTTTAACTTAGTTTTCATTAATGTTGTATTTCCTTTTCATTGAGACGAGATTCGACTTTCACATTTCAAGTGAACATTACCCATAACAAGATGTTTCCCAACATGCTATGATTTTTTACCCCTTGACCTTGATGTTTTAACAACATTTCAAAAGAGTGAACTCTCCCAAAAGAGGATAAGACCACTGTTTAAAACGAAAAAGGAGTTCAGGGAAGACTGGGCTTTTTCCATAAAAAACGTCATTTTTCGACCCTCATTTGATCCCCCGGGCAAAATCAAAATTCCGAAACCTAACTGCACATCTACATGACCCCACCAACCATCTCCCAAAAGATGATTAGGCTGCTGAATAAAATGTAAGAGGAGTTCAGGGAAAATGGGGCTTTTAGCATAAAAACGTCATTTTTCGACCCCCATTTGACCCACTGGGGCAAAATCAAAATTCAGAAACCTTACTACACATCTGCATGCCCCCACCAACCATCTCCCAAAAGATGATTAGGCTGCTGAGTAAAATGTAAGAGGAGTTCAGGGAAGCAGGGTCTTTTTGCATTAAAAAAGTCATTTTTCGACACCCATTTGACCCCCCAGGGCAAAATCAAAATTCCGAAACCTTACTGCACATCTACATGACACCACCAACCATCTCCCAAAAGATGATTAGGCTCCTGAGTAAAATGTAAGAGGAGTTCTGGGAAGACGGGGCTTTTTGCATAAAAAACATCATTTTTCGACCCCCATTTGACCCCCCGGGGCAAAATCAAAATTCCAAAACCTTACTGCACATCTACATGACCCCACCAACCATCTTCCAAAAGATGATTAGGCTGCTGAATAAAATGTAAGAGGAGGTCAGGGAAGACGGAGCTTTTTGCTTAAAAAACGTCATTTTTCGACCCCCATTTTACCCCCTGGGGCAAAATCAAAATTCCGAAAGCTTACTGCACATCTACATGACCCCACCAACCATCTCCCAAAAGCTGGTTAGGCTGCTGAGTACAATGTAGGAGTTCAGGGAAGACGGGGCTTTTTGCATAAAAAACGTCATTTTTCGACTCCCATTTGACCCCCCGGGGCAAAATCAAAATTCCAAAACCTTACTGCACATCTACATGACCCCACCAACCATCTCCCAAAAGATGATTAAGCTACTGTGTAAAATGTAGGAGGAGTTCAGGGAAGAAAAGTGTGACAGACGGACGGACGGACAGACGGACGGACGGACATGAGTAACAACAATATACCCGAACTTTCTTTAGAAAGTGCGGGTATAATAAGTTATTTGCCAAATCAATTGCAATGACCTCATCCTCAGCATTTCGTAAATTCTATAGCAGTTTTAAATAAATTGAATTTTAATGATAATGTGAGCGTCCATAGACTAATGCAGTAGAAACAACGTTTGCTCCTTAGTCGAGGATCCAAGCATCCTACTATAGATGGAACCCCCCTCCCCCGTCCCTCCATCTGGCGGGGAGTAAGACGATTTCTCATACATGTATGTCGGTTCATTGCCCACTGCTGTGCGCAATAATAATTCCTTCGATCAAACAATAAACAAGTAAACATTGACATAACCATCAATTGTCGCCCGGGAAATATATAAAGTAAACAATGGAAATGAGTCTTCATCATCAAACTGCTGTGATATGTGTGAAAAGGCATGTGTCTAATTGATGGCGACGATAGTCGTGAATATTTTGAAAAGTTATAGTCGGATAAAAATCAAACAAAAACGATACCATTTTAAACTTGATCAATTCCTCATGTAAATGTTGGCTGTATAAAATATAAATTTAGACACACGCATCACCTATATTCAAAAATGTATTAATTTTTAATTTTAGAATATAAAACATGAAATAAGGGTCCCGTATCGCAGCAGGTGTTTGCACCAAAAAGGTCCCAGGCTGTTTAAAAGCCGTAATTGTCAATTATAGGTCTAAATTGCATCTCTGTATCCGGCAATTGTTGGCGTCTCAAAATTTTCGAGTGGATGTTAAACAGTCAAAATAAGATAATTAACACGATTATTTAACAAATACAAAAGGATCACTTCATTATAAATGGGGATTTGACCTATAGTACCGGGCTTGGTTTTTTCTCTATAAAAACCTTGTCGATTTCCGTTCTGATTAATGGCATTAGGCTGAATACATATAACAATTTGTTTTTCCTAAATCTTTTTTCAGATAGTAGAGGTATGAGGAACCCTTTCACAGATTTCCTGAGTTTGTTATCTCAAAATGTAATAATTGATATTTGTCATAACTTCTCAATAAGCATAATGGTAATGTTTACTGCCTCTGCAATTCTATTCTTTATGTTTAGGCAATTTTATCCGTGAATGTAGTAAAACATTCCATTAATGTATGCAAATTATATAGACCTAAATCAAATTCGAGGAGTACAGTTACTGATATGTATGTAGCCAAAATCAATGTTATTAAATCCTAAGGAATATATACAATTGACATTCATCGCAGCTCAATGCTGCCAAATGTACCTGTATTAAGTAACACAGAGTGAGTTATTCTTGTCCTCGAAGAAAGTGTGCTTATACTGAGGTTTGTTCCGCCTGACTGACAACTGTACAAGGATACATAATTGAAGGAAAATACACAAGGCTATAAAAAATATATAATTGGCTTTGAAAAGGCGAAAATTTAAAGATTTAAAAGTGTGGTACCAGGTGGATTCGAACCCCCGACATTAAAATGTTAGTGTGCACACAGTAATAGTCAGCGTATATATCAACTGAGCTAGTCTGACTATACCATTTTACGGTATAAATTTGAAGCAGATTATCAAAATTAGGTTTCCTTATTTTTTTGTAGGTTTTTTGTGAATTTCGACCCAAGGGCAGGGGTGCCCCTAAAAAAATCCTATCTTAAATTAATCCTTACATCCAAACCTATCAAAATATCACAATTTTATTTAGGGGCAGGCCTGCCCTGATGGACTTCTCGGCCAAAATTCATGCAAAAATCAACTTTTTATGGACAAAATGGTGTTTAGGCCAACTTTGGAGGTGTATTGTAAAGTTATAAATGATAAATTTTAGGTATAAAATACAAATTTGAAAAATTTTGACATATATACGGTAGAAAACAACAAATAAAGATTAATTATTCAATGTCACTTTTTCCGGGAAATTGTTCTCTCCTATAGGTCAATTCTTTTGTCAAAGCGAATACATCCTTTCTTCTATAAATGTGCCTGGCGACAATTTTGGGCATAATCGCACATGTTTCATATATTGTATGTTATTTAACGTCCCTCCCGAGAATTTTTACAATCATATGGAGACTAAAATTCGTGCCTTTAGAAAGATGTGATTTTTTTATTTAAACCTAAATACTCGGCATCC